ATTTAACCTTTTTCTGTTGGTAACCCTTGCATGAGTTGATGTTCCATCTACAATAGCTAAGTCAATATTATTTGTTTGTTTTTGCTGTATCCTCCTCCTACAGTGAAACTATTTTGAATTCAAATCAGCTTGTATCGTTAAAAGGTTTAAACTACTGGGCTATCTGGAATTGAGAAATGTAGCCATAGCATTAAAAAGGACAGAAATAGTTATTGACTTTATTTTCCAGACTTTGGACTAACTACTTTGTTGACTTATAAGACGTGGAGAAATTTTAGGAAGACTCAATCATGTGCTTCTTGAGTTATGAAAATTATGCACTTGTTATGTTTTCAGTGAACTTGATAATCAATGCCCGAAACCTCTATCAACATTTTTTTTGTTCTTTTGTTTATTTTTTTTTCAAATTTTGATGGACAACATTCAGTTTTCTCTAGATTCCTAGCTGCATGAAATACAGATGGGAACCTCATGAAGGTCCCTTCAGTTTCTTTATCATGAAAAACGGGTTAGCATAATGTTAATCTGTATCGTATAAAATTTAGTGATGGTCAAAGTTTGTAAAATGGTAACTATGAGGAAATTGCCATTAAGATTCTGAAAAATTTTGCTTATATCACATATCCTATTGGCGTGTACATGACAATTTGCTTGGATGTTTCTCTATAAGTGACTGAGGTCTAGTTAAGTTGCATCAAAAAACAATTGTCCAACTCTAGTCTTTTGTTGTCATTTAAGCATATGAATGTAAGTTGTCTGATATATTGCCTGTGCAAGTCAAATAATAAAAGAATGCTATTCTATAATCTGCTGCTGACTTTCTTCAAGCTTGGGAGATATTACAAGTCTTGGCTGCATTACCAAGTGGCTATGTTAAGCATGTTTCAACTAAGCTATAATGTGTTCTGTTGTGTGCGGGTGCATGCAATCGAAAGTGTGAGCAAAGAATAGAGAGAGTGAGAAAGAAGGAGGGAGGATTCTGTTACACCCTCTAAATCTTGATATCTGAAAAGTTCTAACTTTCTTAACTTTAAACAAATATATGATCTAAGTTAGAGTATAGGACCTCCAATATTTAGAGAGTGAAGGATACATGTTTTGGTATAGTTAGATGCTTGTTTACATTCTGTTCTTTTTTCATTAAATTTTTGTCCCTTTTCCTGCTCATAGTGAATGTCCTTTTTTGCAGTGGAAACTATCTTATTAGGATTTCAAAATTACATACTGGTACTGGGGACAAGTGTGATGATACCTTCATTGCTCGTTCCAGCCATAGGAGGAAGTGATGTAAGCTGAATTTCTGCTACCTTGTGTTCTTTCATCTTTTCAACTTCCTTCGCTATTGGCTCACATGTTCATGTATGGTTGAAAAGCCTTTTATTCATGATTCACTGAAGACCATGTAGGAATGGTATAATAGTTTGTTTATGCTTTCTATTTCTAAGTATCTACATTTAGTTATACCATGCTTGCACTGATCTCATGTGCCAATTCCCATTCTAATTTTCAACTTGACAAAACTTCACAGAATTCTTTTTAACTATATAGGGTTAAATTTTGGCCAAGATGATCTTGTCAGGTTCTGTTAATATGGTGGACAAAGCATTTAGTGATTTGCTTGCTCATACAACCAGGGTGACAAAGCAAGAGTGATACAAACTTTACTCTTTGTAGCCGGCATTAACACACTTCTCCAATCACTTTTCGGAACCAGATTGCCTGCAGTTGTTGGAGGATCTTATGCCTATTTAATTCCAGTCGGTTATATTATCAGCAACTCTTCATTGCATCAAATTAATGATAATCATGAAGTAAGTTTCCTTCACACATCTCATCGTAATGCATCAGCTTTAAAAATGATTTTCTTTTCTTTCTTGCCATCTGATAATTGATTGATGTTCTTCCCTTGTCATTGGCAGAGATTTATATAGTCAATGCGAGCTATACAAGGAGCTTTAATTGTAGCCTCAAGTATTCAGATAATCCTGGGATACAGCCAAGTTTGGGGACTACTTTCAAGGTACACAAGTTACATATGAAAATGTTGATGAAATGAAAATTACAAAAATAATATATCTAAGCATTTACTGAAACATGGTTTCCCCACCTATTGAAATAAGGATTGTTGTTGTTGTTGTTGTTGATTTACTGAAATATGGTTTGTGGATCTTCTCCCCAGCTTTTTCAACCCTCTTAACACGGCACATGTAGTTGGATTGCTTGGATTAGGACTCTTTCAACGAGGATTTCCTGCGGTATGTGTTGCTATGAGTAGCTTTATATGTTATACATTTGGAAAACCTTAGCCTTTTTGAGGAGAAGAAAATGACAAGGGAAATTATGTGACCATACCATTTCAATTATAAAAGGACTTCTACTCTGCAATCTGAATGTTGCCAAACAGTATAGCATCTAAAAAGCATTCCTTGAATAGCTGAATGCAACCTCTGAAGTTGATTCCTGTTTCAAGTGACTACATTTTTTTTTTCCTGAAGCTTAGAGTTGGACCTTTGCTTCTATCTTTGCTTATTTGAAGGCTTAGTCTAAATTCTATCATTTTAGATTTCTGAATAGTACTTGATTTGACCTCTAAATAACCGTATTAATGAATCTTCTTTCAGAAGGCTATTTTAACTCACTGAGCTATCTAATGCCAGATTGAAATCTTATTTGCATAATTGCGTACCATCTAAGTTTAATGGCTCATTTGGTATGCAGAATATTAGGGATAGAGAGTAAAATAGAATAACAATGGAGAAAAGAATCTTACCATTTAAAACTTTAACATTTAAAACCTTTTGTTTATTACTTGGTTACAGAATATGACATTTCATACCCTTTATCCTGCCACATGAACCGCCCCTATTAGTTTAAACATAAACAAGAGTGCAAGAGTGATTGGTCTCCCTACCTTAACAATGTATTAAAAAAGAGACCTTATTGAGTATAACAAAGATACAAAAAGCATCCTTTCCATCTTTATCTTTCCTTTTCAATACCAAACGGGGCCTAAATCCCAAAGTTCCCAGTAGAACTGTTTGCAAATGACTTAAAGGGTTGCATCCACATTTTCCCATCTTTTGTGATGTTCTAAGCTTAGTAAGTTAGTTGTTTTCTGTTATGATGATAGAGTAGAAATTAGAGTAGGAAGATAGTTTCATTTACACTAGCTAAAGTATTGTTCTGTTTGTTTCTGCAGGGAAGTTTGGAGCTGTCTTTGCATCTATTCCGTTCCCAATATTCACTGCATTGTACTGCATTCTCTTCGGTCTCATAGGTACACAAGCAATTAGTTCAATTGAATTTTTATTTCCATAGTTAACTTTGGCTCCTCCATTCACAGTTACTTGTTTTTGTTCCTTCAGCTTCAGTTGGAATATCATTTCTTCAGTTCACAAACATGAACTCCATGAGAAACCTAATCATCACTGGGCTATCATTGTTCCTTGGAATTTCTATTCCTCAATTTTTCAATGATTACTGGAGTCCTCCACATCATGGCCTTGTTCATACCAATGCTGGATGGGTGAGTTTTCGTTTAGTGGCATAATTAGCTATTACGCAAAATTTGATTGAGAAGAGTAGTGATCAAAGTGTATAATAGATATTACACTAGTTTTATGTGCAAGCAAAATAAAATCTCGTCCTAGAAATGTTGAACCAAACAGTTAAAGTTAAATAAATTACAGTTCACTTCTTTGTGGTTTGATTCAAAATTAAAATGGTTTAGAATATTTTCTATTAATTTAGAACTAGTTTCAAGCCCTTTGATGGGATTAAGTGGAAAGTTGTCTTAAAAGGCTGAGATTATTGATTAAGACATAAGCAAACCATCCCTACATTGTTGCTGAAATTTTTGAACATCAAGAACTCATTTTTATGTGTGACAATGTGTCATCTTTGTGGCTCAATGCACTCATAAACACCATATTCTCATCGCCAGCTGTAGTGGCTTTGATTGTGGCGGTGTTCCTTGACAACACGCTCGATGTTGAAAAGTCAAAGAAAGATAGAGGGATGACATGGTGGGCAAAGTTCAGAAAGTTTAAAGGAGATAGCAGAAATGAAGAGTTCTATACTTTGCCATTCAATCTCAACAGGTTCTTCCCACCTACTTGATATTCATGAGAATGAGAAGCACAGATACATAAATCTTTAAGTCATGACAAATATGATGAGTAATATTCTTTCTTCACAATCATTCCTCGATTTTTTTAACTTGGTCCCACTTAGGATTATAAAGCATTTGGATTCATGCTCTGTAGATTCAATAAAGAGAATATTTATGTTTCTAGCTTTAGTACCTTCTCAAAAACTCTCAAGACTATTTCTAATTTGTAGTTACATTCTTTTATGGAATTTTCTTCAAATGTATCAATCCATGAATGTAAAGAATCCTAATTTCTTATATATGTTTGCTAAAGTATACTTTATTAGATGAGTAAAAAGGGGCGAAAACAGAGACCTATCAGCAAGACTTCGGTTTATAATAAGTGGACTATGAATGATATTTTTATTTTTAAATTAAACACAAGGGAGCTTTGTCATATTCTTTTTATAGTTATCACTTATCACTGTTCCTTGTAGAGGCCAAATATAATTTAATTCTTTTTTTTATAACATAAATTCTATTTGATGATGGATTAATATTATTATCCCTTTGATGACGTTTTCTCTTAAAAATTGTTTTAATTTTTATACAAAATGGAGGCAACTCTTAACATTTTTTTTAGTTATTTACAGTTGTCAAATTCATGGATTGTATTATAAAGTTTCACTTGAAATGCTTTATACACATTAACATTACTTTATCCTTTTGATTATGAAGCAAGTGTGGAGAGGTTATGGGTGAGACCTTCAAAACTTATTCGTCTACAATTTAAAAGTATGTTATCCTTTTTGCTATTTGAAAAACCTTTTTTGTGATGATTTTTTTTTCAATATAAATGGATATACAAGATTGTTTTTTTTTTAAAAAATAATAACAACTATATTGCGAGATTGAAATAAAGAATAACATAAGAAATCATTGATACAATATTTGAAATAAAATAAGTTGTGCACACAAGGGCCACACAATTATTGTATTTTGTGTGCAATCTTGAATGTAGTTACATAGTTTCAACAGACTCAAATAAAATACAACTTCAAAGTAAAGGTATGTCTAAATTTTTAAGCTTCTTTTTTTTTTTAAAAAAAAAAAGTTTTTGTGAAATTTTCAACACACTGATACAAATCCAACATATTTTCACACACAACTTAGTAAAACACAAATGCAGATAAAGAAACCATTGGAAGATCCAAAGCTCATCATCAGCCCTTCATTATCTCACTTTCCAATTTGATCTCCAAGGCTGACAAAAAAAAAATTAATTAGCAGTTTAATCAAAATGGAACATATAGACAAAATAAAAATTAATAACCTTGTTTATTCTTCACAATCTTCGAGACGGTCCTTAGATAAGGTGTATTAAATTAGAGCTAACTATTTATAATGATGAGAAATAATGTATTAAGAATGTGTAAATGGTGGAAATTAATTATTTTTGAGTTCCATATAATTATTCAACTTCTAATATTACCATAACATGTCACTTATTTAATACGAGTACATTATTATGATTTTGATATGACGAAAAATTTTGGGAGTGATTGCAATTTCTGATTAAAAAAAATTAGAGCGATGTATGTGTGGTTGTTAAGATAGAATTTTTTTTTCTCGTAATAAAAGACCTTTTTTTTCCATATAAAATAGAAATTGTAATGCACAAAATTATTTCATTGATTAAATATGATAATAGTTTGAAAGAAAAAGTGTAGCCACGAACCTGATGACGAGGGCTTGTCTTCTAATGGGATTATTGAGATTTTTGATATGTTTGGACAATGTTCTATTGTTATAGTACCAGAAAGGTGGTTGAATTCATAACCTTCATAAATCTCTCTCAACTTTGGCAAATTACTGAGCTTCAAATAATTCAATTCAGGAAATAGCCTTTGATGATGATGAGTAGCTACTTCACCTTCATAAGCTTCAACAACCCTCTCCAGTTGACAGCAATTCCATATGGTTATTGTATCCAATGAAGGACAATGAGATGCCAGAGAATATGAGAACACCCTTCTCACTTTGTGGCAATCATATATACGAATGGTCTCAAGTTTGGGGAAGGAAACAGTGGAAGTAGTAGACAGATTCTTAAGTGACTCTTCACAGAATATTCCCTCCCATTCCTTGCATCCTCTTACTTCAAGTTCCCTCAACTCAGGAAGGCTTGTAACAATAGCAAGAGTGAACACATTTCTTAATCTTGGGCATCCCCACAGTCTAATCTCTTTAAGTCTATAGAAGCTCAAAATTTGTATGGGATCTTTCCAAATATATTCTAATTCCGGTAGATTTACTAACTCCATGGAACACAATTCTGACTTCACCACCCTCACTGTGTCATTCTCATGTTTCTGTGAAGTAAATATATTCAATGATTAGATGAAAATTCAACATATGGACTATATATACACATGAACCACATAAATTTAATGGCACTGTAACGTTAAAAAGTAAACCCCATTCATTTCACATATTTATAAAACTGTAATAAGATAAGCTCAGTAAGATGAATTTTATTAAGTTAGACTTTTCTTATACATATTATTGATGGTCCAATGTGAAATATATATAGACACACACATGTACACAATGTATGATGTATAAATATGCATCGACATTGATTTATTTCAAATCAAACAGTCTTGGACAAGTCATACTTTCCATGATAAAGAACCGCTCACAAAAACAAAAAATGATTCCGCAACCAAGCATTAATGGGAACATTGCTAATACTTCAAGTAATTTCCAGTTTGATTTCATGACGAGAGGACTGCTTCACAGACACAAAATATTAAATAAAATTTGAAATGATTATTGCTTTTCATTGGAATATAGTCTTGCTACTCGTATATATCGTTTCATAGTAAACACAAATTTTCAAATAAATTTAAAAAGTAAACAAGAGGAAAGGAAAATAAGTCCTGTAAAAAGAATTTCTCACGTCCAAAGAAAATGAGAAAATATTTCCACTGATTCATTCTTAACAAAAACAACCATGAACAACTACTTTCTATAATAACAAAGAAGTTATTTCTCCGACGAAGCTATAAAACGAAAAATATAAACTGTTATGTTTGATAAATAATTTAAAAGACATTTATCAATTTTATCCATAAAAAATCACAAATAAAAAAGAAATAGTGAGAGAAAACACTCACGTGAGGGAAGATCTCTCTCAATTTCGGCAATGACAACAAGCGTAAGTACTTCAGTTTGAGAAGTGGTAGCCGATCCCCATATGATGCTTCTTCAGCAAGCCTCTCAAGTTCAGAACAATTTCGGATCAAAGGTTGCTGAGAGATTAAAGCATGCTAGTTAGTTTCACCAAAAAAGTTGAAAGGAAAACATACAAATTTTAATAGCAATAAAAGATGCACACTGACAAAGACCTTTTTAACGTCCACAGAAAATTTAACAAATTGTAATTTATAGATATTATATCAACTCCAACTTATTCTAAATAAAATACAATCCATATAATTATTTGCTTGACGAAATAAAAAATAAAAAATAGAAAGTGTTGTTTGGAAAAACAAAATAATTATTTGACAAAAAATTAAAATGAACTAAGAGATTAAAATTTTTATCAAATTCATATGTGGAAAGATAAATTAAAAAATGCAGCTTGCAAATAATATTTTGTAGTACTGAAAAAAGAAAAAGAAAAATTTGAGCAGTTTAATCTTTAGTATTACAATGTAAATGCTAAATAGAAATTCTATGAAAAAAGAGGTAGGGGAGCGAAAGAAAAGTTTTATCAAAATGTTTGAAATCTCTAGCGAAAACTTCTGTAGACACTAATTTATATTATGCTGGCCATTATAAGTATTTCCCGAATTGATCATTTAATGGCAAAATAAAAATAATGTACTTTTAAAATTGTGTTAACATAATTCAACATGCGTTTTACCAGACTCAATCAATTTTTATAGTAACATGGAAAATGTGTGACTGGCAAATGTTGTAAATACTTTTTACTACATGATTATGTTAATTCTCTATTATAACAACTATATCACATTTAATAAATAATATATATATCTTTTTTTAACAAGAAGTACACATATTAAATATTTCTTGACCGACAAGAATTATTTGAACAAAAATACTAATGTTAACTTAATTTTTAGCAGAAAAAGAAAGAGCCACAAAAAGGTATTTTCTCACATCAAAAAGAAAAGAAAAGCATGGCGAAAAAATTTGAAAGGGAAAAATACTTCTCTTAAAGTATGTGTAGTTTTTGTATATTTATAGTATTTATATAATGCATCAACACTAATTTATTTTTGAATAAAAATAACTTTGAATAAGCACTTCCCACAATAAATACCTAATAGCAAAAGCAATATGAAAAAGTCATTTACTTGACCAAAATGCAGAATACGAAATGTAAAATGTTACTGCATCTGACAAATAAAAGTTGTTATTTAAAAAAAAAAAGAAAAAGGAAATAATATTTTATTATTATGAAAATAAGGAAAACTCAGAAAATAGTTTCATCGTGCGCAGCCTGAATATATAGCCAAGAAAATTTAATAATAAAAAGAGGTTTATACAGGTATAATAAAGTGAAGTCAAAAATAAAATAATTACTGTAGAAGTTATGTTTAATGATTATACAAATATATATATTATACGATAGCAAACAAAAAATTTTCAAATAAAAGGGAGATGTAAATTGAACATGGCTACTTTAGCAAATGCGTCAACATATATATATGGATTATTATTATTATTTCTAATATGCAATGATTCAAAGAGACATTGCGGATTTGCTGGTCAAAAAAAAAAAAAAAAAGAGAGACATTGCGGATGAGACTTACCTGTGGATGATCTCCAAGTGCAGCTTCTTCATTAATCAGCCCCTCAAATTCAGAGCAATGCGTATCCGTATAGCCTCCAGTGAAGGACAATGAGATGCAAGAGAATAAGATAACAACCATCTCACTCTGTTGCAACTGTTTATGTCAATTCGCTTAAGTTTGGGGAAGCAAATATTAGAAGAAGAGAGGTTTTTGAGTGATTCTTCACAAAATATTCCCTCCCATTCCTCACAATCATATACTTCAAGTGTCTCAACTCTGGAAGGCTTGCAACCATAGCAAGAGTGAAGATACTTTTTAATTTTGGGCAGCTCCCCAATAAAACATTTTCAAGTCTATGGAGGCTCACAATTTGGGTGGGGCCCTTCCAAATATATTCCAATTCTGGTAGATCATCTAATTTTAATTCACTCAACTCTGAATCCAGCTTTAGAGGTTCTTGGGCTTAATAGATTCTTCATCATCTTCTACTCTTCCTCTGACTTGGATTTCCAATATACCTTTCTTTTTTCCACTCCTTTAATTTGTAGACTTTTCAACCTGAGAAAAAGGATCAAGGATTGCTGATTTTGCAACTGATTGAATCTTTTTGCTGTAACGCCCACATAAGCACTGTCAGTTTCCTTTCCCTGTAAATGTATTAAAATTAAAATTATGAAATGGACTGATTATAACAACTTGCGTTTTACTCTAACTAGATTGAGAATTAAACCCAGCAAGTTTCTTATATAATATATTAATTATTGCCAACTATTGTTAGTAAATAATCCTTTCTAACAAGTAGGCAAATTTATATTAACAATCAGGACTTTTTTTATTACCAACACTTGAAATGAAAATATAAAATTTTAATAGCAACAAAAGAGGAACGGTAAGAGAGATCTTTTTAAACATCAAAGAAAATTTAAGAAAAACGTTTATCTTAAAATGTGGTGTCCTAAATAATTATTTATTGACCAAATATAAAACCTTTTAGACGTCAAAGAAAATTTAAGAAAAATATTTCTATTTCTTTTCTTCTTTTGCCAGCAAAGCAAAACACTTCTCTTAAAATATACTCATTCAGTCCTAAATATAAAACCTATTTTATAATGTAATTTATACTACAAAATAGATCTTATACTTAAGACCGGAAAAGTAGTATGTAATTCATAGATATTGTATCAACTTCAACATATTTTAAATAAACCAATCCTAAATAATTAATTCATTGACGAAAATACAAAACAAAAAAATATAAAGTATTGTTCGGGAAAATGAGATTAATTATTTGACCAAAAAAATAAAATGAACAAAAGAGATTTAAGTTTTTATCAAATTATGCGTGGAAAGAAATAGCAAATGCAGTTTGTAAATAATATCTTGTAATACTAAAAAAAAAAATTAGTAATTAAATCTACAAAATTACTCTTTTGGTCCCATAGTTTTAACTCAATATAAAACTTGGACCCTAGACTTTTATTCATTATTCCTACTCAGTCTTTAATCATCCCTTTAATCTTTAGTATGTATCATAAATGCTAAATGCAAAGGTTTTCTTTTTTTGGACCATGAAATGCAAAGATTTAGAACTTCACGATAAGCACATTGTTATATAATTAAAAATCCTTAAATAAAAAATGAAATGACACTATTTTATAATATATTAGCCTATCCAATTCCTTTCCACAAATAATATATAGATGGTGATAGAAATTGTAATTTACAAAAATTATTTTTTTTAATAACAAACAACACCTTGATCATGATTCTGAAATTAAAATAAATTGCTTTCACGCATTTTTTAAATCGTGATGCCATATATTAAAACATGTTTTTGGAATATACTTGTTGCTACATGATTATATTCAACCTCTATATGACATTTAATTAATGACATGTATAAATAGACATATTATATATTTTCTCACATCCATGGAAAGCATGGCAGAAAAATCCAAACGATTAAAAAAAGATATCATTTATGTTAAAGTATGTGTAATTCATGGATAATACAACAACTCAAATTTATTATAAATACGTGATGCCAAAAACAATATATAATACATTTCCTTGACGAGAGTACAAAATAAAAAATAAATAAAGTGTTGCATTTGGCAAAGTAAAAGTAGTAAGTTGAAAATAAGAATTAATAAGAAAAATACAAAGCTTGAAAAGCAATAGTATTTTGTTATCTTGAAAATAACAAAACCCAAAAAATAGTTTTATCGTGTAGCCTCAATGTAGAGCTCAGAAAATTTAATAATAAGAAGAGGAGGCTTATATAGTTACAATGAACTCAAGTCAAGAATAAAATGACTATCATCTCTTACTAAGAATATTCTTTTTTAATAATTATATAAATACATATTATAAAAAAGGGCCACAATAAAAGGTATTTTGTTCACATCCAAAGATTGGTGAAAAGAATTCAAAGGAAAAACTATTTCTCTAAAAGTATGTATAATTTTTAGATATTGCATCAACACTAATATATTTGTAAATAAAATAATTAAACTTTGAACAAGCGCTTCCCACAATAAATACCTAACGGCAAAAACAATATGAAAAAGTCATTCCAAATAAAAAAAGAAAAAGAAAAAGTCATTTCGTAGACCAAAATACAAAATAAGAAATATAAAATGTTGCAACTGACAAATAGAAGTCATTATTTGACAAAATAAATTAATAAGCAAATGCAAAGCCTTAAAAAGCAGTAATATTTTATTATCATGAAAATAAGGAAAACTCAATATTTTCGTCGTGGAGCATAGATAAAGAGCTAAGAAAATTTAATAATAAAAAGAGATTGATATAGTTAAAACTACTCCTTCGGTTCTAATGGGTCTTATATTTAGAACTTGATGAATATTTTTTCTTTTACAACAAACAACGCCTTCAACTTCATTCTAAAATTGAACTAAATTGACTTCACGTATTTTTAATTTACAAAAACTATATTTTACAACTTGTGATTGGATTCATTCATCATGATTATCAATAATTATACCTAGAAACATGTGTAAGTAACAAATACAAAGAAATAAGGTACAAATTTGTCCTTGAAGTATATGGTTAGGAGGTATGGGTATCTGAAAGTTTTTTAAGTCTCAATATCACCCTCAAAATTACAAAAACATAGCAATGTTGGCCTAACCATTATTCCAGTTAATTTTGACAGTTAGTTTGACCAGATTGCTTATGTGGCATGCCATGTCATCAGTCTTTCCTCTCTTCCACTTCACACCTCCATCTTTTTTTTTTTTTGAGTGAAAACATCTCATCATCTTCATCATCTATATTGGCACCATTATCATCTCCCTCTCTCCCCCCCCCCCCCACCCACAACATGCTCGTCAGATCTATTTGAGACCCTGAGTACTCTCCTCCTTTGCTACTCGAAACAACTCCCACCGCCTCAAGTATCACAACCCCAATTCCAAACCTCCCCTTATCAAAACGCAAGCTTATCCCATGATGTGGAAGAGAGGGACGATGAGTTGTCATACCATATGGCACCCCACATAAGCAATCTGGTCAAATTAACTGTCAAAATTAATTGGGATAACATTCAGGGTAATATTCTTATGTTTTTGTTTGGGGTGAGATTGAGATTTCAGAAGCTTCTGGACACCAATGGCTTCTAGCCATATACCGATCAAATTTGCACTTTATCCCTATCACACACACACACACACACACACACACACACACACACACACATGTTTGCTACTTGATTATATTCAACATGTATTATGATAACTATATGACATTTAATGAACGATAGATAAGTAGACATATTGTATATTTCATGATCAACACAACTTATTTGGCCAAAAACTGAAATGTAAACTTACAATTTTTTCAAGACAAAAAGAGGCACAGTTAAAAATTCCCCCCCCCCCAACATCCATTGAAAAGCATGGCAGAAAAATACAAAGGAAAAAACATTTCAGTTACCTGATGACGAAAACAATATCAAAAAGTCATTTCCTTGACCAAGATACAAAATATAAAAAAAATATAAAGTGTCGGATTTGGCAAGGTAAAAGTAATAATTTTTTTTAAAAATTAATTAGAAAAATAAAAGCTTGAAAAGCAATAATATTTTATTATCTTAAAGATAAAGAAAACTCAAAAAGTAGTTTTTATCTATAGCAGCTCAAAAAATTTCATAATAAGAATTTTACACAGTTACAGTGAACTCGAGTCAAAAATAAAATGACTATACTCTTATTAAGAACGCAGTTTTTAACAATTATATAAATACATTATACGATTGTAAACAAGGCTATTTTTAAATTACAAAAAAAAAAATAGAGGCCAAGTAAACAAAAAGAAAGATAATATTACTATTGTTTGTTATTGAGATTTTTTTTATACTTGTTTATATTATTCGGTAATAAGCACAATTTTTCCAAATTAAAAGAAAATGTAAAAATGGCCACCTTCAATTTTTTTTAAATAAATAGTATGGTAGAGTGAACTAAAAGTAAAAAGAATCACCTAAAAATGTGTGAAATTATTAGCAGTTGAATGAATTCTGGTTTTTTTCCCCAGCCTGTATGTACTTTTCACAATATATGGATGGAGTTAGAAATTGTATAGCACGTTTCCTTGACAAAGAAGCAAAAATAACTAGGGAGATAAAACAGAGGCATTGATTGAACGTAAGTTGAGAAAAGGATATCAAATTCATCTATCAAAAGAAAACCAACAAATGCAGTTTAAAAATTAAATGAAAAGATAAACTTTTTTCAGCAAATGCACGAACACGGATTATTATTTCTAATATGCAATGATTCAAGAAGGATTTCGCGAATAATACTTACATGTGGATGACAGTATTGCATGTCATGAAGTAATGGATCCCCAAGTGCAGCTTCTTCATCAATGAGCCTCTCAAGCTCAAAGCAATTGGCTATAATTATCTCCTCCAAGGACGGACAATGAGAAGCCAAAGAATAAGAGAATAACCATTTCACTTTGCCGCAACCCTCAATCACAAGTCTCCTCAGCTTTGGCAAGCTCGTAACCATGGCATGGGGGAAGATGCAAGTTCTCAATTCAGGACAACTTTGTATCGACAGCTCTTGTAACATGGGGAGAGAGTAGCTGATAGATGAAGCTTCAAACACCTGTTCAAGACTATTCATTTCAAACAATCGTAAAGTTATCAAGTCTGAGAAGATTTGTTGTGTTTGAAGAGTGTTCATATCAGAGTTCTCAATGATGAATCTTCTCTCTTGACAGAATGATACCACGAGGTGCTTTATCCTAAAATTTATATCTTTATGATCCCATGAACAATTATCTAACCAAAGGTGGTTTGCCCCAAAAATGAGATCCTTCATTGACGAAGTCAAAGCAAAGATTCTGAAGCCTTGTATGCATAAAGCTCTTAATGCTTCATCACAACTATCTAAATATTCTTGGAAAGAGTTACCCATATATTCATCAATCATTCTGCATGTGGAATCATAGATGACATACCTCTTCAACCTTGAAAGAGAGAAATTCTCAGGGATGATAGATTTCTTATCCCAAAAGTATAATTCTTCAAGCTGCTCACATCTTTCAATTACTTCTAAAGGGCTTTCCTTAATTTCACATTCAAATATATCTAAAAGTTTCAGCATTTTCATGTCTGCAATTTCAGCAGGTAATTCATTAAATAGAGAACCACGCAAATCAAGAATTTCCAATCCTTTGAGTTCACACAAAAAAGAGATGTCACCCAATCGTTTCCCTCTAAGACATAAGGTTTGAAGATTTGTTAACAGTACAATTGATTGTGGGATAGAGCAAAAAGTTGATGACCAAAATCTGCATTGAAAGCCATCTGTTATGAGTGCCAACACTTTAAGTGTTTCTATTGCTCCAATATCTTCAATGAACCCATCAGGTTGAAGTAGCAAAATCTCCAGTGATGGACAATGCAATTTATTAAAGATCTTGAAATTCTCATCCAAATTCCACAATGAGAGTGCCTTCGCATCATTCAATCTGTGGCAGTTGCTTACCAGCATGCTTGAAATTGAATGGCTATCCACCAAAACTTCTTGATGTTGCTTCTTTGCGATCCATAAGGCTACATCTCGAACAACATCATGCAATTTTACACGTTCCTGCCAATCGGTATTCATTAACAAACAAGAATCTAACAATTTCTCAATAGTTGCAAAAATCTCATTCCTTGCTTCCCCTATTGTATGAATATCATCACCCAGCTTTAGAGTCCTGTTGCCAAAACGAATTAAATCCTCTATATGGATTTCATGATCCTCAGGAAACATAGAACACAATATGAAGAGCGACTTGGCTAGTGAACTTGGCAAATTATCATAACTTAATTCAACACATGCATAAGGGGTCTTCAAATCATCTTCAATATCCAATGGTAGGGGACGTTGTAGCCTCCTTAGTGTTGACTTCCACGCTTGAATACTCTTTCCTTTTAATGTGCTTCCGACTGTCACAATTGCAATAGGCAAACCTTTACACTCATCAACAATTTGCCTTCCAATGCTATCAAACTCATTCATTGACACATTGGCTGTTTTAACGCACACCTTGAACAATGCCCATGACTCTTCCTCTGTTAAGAGAGGCAATTTAATAATACTTTCACAATCCATAGAAACACATACATCATGGAGGCGAGTGGTCAACAATACACAACAACCTTCATTTAATGGAATTCCAATATCTTCAAGCCTTAGTTTGCTCCACACATCATCCAGGATTATAAGAATCTTCTTATTTTTCAATCCTTCTGATAGCCTTTGTGCTTTAGTAAGTTGAGTTGACTCTTGAAGTTGTAAGCCTATTTGCCCCGCTATTTCCTGCTGAATGTTCAAAACATTTGGGGGTTTTGAAACGACTGCCATGATGGCCTTGTCGAAAAGCTTTAGCTCATCTACTTTCTTGCCTACTTCCTTCGCCAAAGTCGTCTTGCCTGATCCTGCCATACCATATAATCCCACCATCTTGTTCGTGCCATCTTTAATTGCCTCCAAAAGATGATTACAAGTTGATTTCCTTGAGTTGAAATCCACAAACTCTTTGGAAGAGAAGTAGGTAATTCCAGGAAGTTGGATCACCTGGGAAAATGGCTGAAAGTCAGAATTTTGTTTGAGGTCCATCATCTGTTTAGCCTTATTTTCCATTTGTTTGGATAATGAGTATCTAACAGACACATTGAAACAATTGTTTCGTCCTCGATCAAGCTCTTGTTGCAGCTTTTGTACCTCTCCTAGGATAGCATTCACATCATCCAACCACTTCTTCACGGATGGCATTATTTCTTCAGTTTTTCGTTCTGCTTCTTCCGTACGCTTTCTCACATCTTCTAGTTTCACCTCTAGCTCTTGTTTTGCTTTCTTGAAGTCTTCATTAAGCTGCTTAAAGCAGAAAAAATACGCAGCTCCATGTGAAATCGGAGCCACTAAGTATTCTGCAACCTTTGACACGATTGAGATCACAATCTCTGCCATTTACTGCAATCATAATTCATGTAGTAAGCAATCATCCCTAACACAAGTCAACGTACAAAGCATGTAACGTACAACCAAGCTCAATTTTGATCTGTTCTTTATGGCATGACTAATTAGTAATATATTCATATAACCAAACTTAAAATATATATATATATGTATAAAATGCTTGGACACCACACTTATTAAATCATAATATAAAGCTCGACTATTTCAATAACAACGTCATTTCTTCTGATCTTTTGTAAATGTAAGCACTGGAATACAATGCACTACATTTCGTTTTAATAGGAAAACTAAAGCTTAAATAATCATATCAATAAATTTTATTTATTTAAATTAACAAGTTGTAAAATTTTTAAATAGAACAATATTAAAAAGAGTCTAATAAGAAGCCGAGGATCGACTTGAGTTTATAATGAAATTATTTATTATTTTAGAATATGAATTTCGAGTTCAAATGATAGTCAAATATAATACATGAGGCAATATCTAAGAACATTAGTCTTATGAGATATGTCATCTCCCCTCACATGAAAACTGACAAATCTTTTACGAGGAAGCAAGTTATATATAGCATTATTTATGACCCGCAAAAGACATCTGAAGTGACAAAGACACATATAATAGACACATGCATCTAAAGCATAGCATAAAGTATCTGGAACCATGCCTTTGGATACACCCAAAAGAAAAAAAGTTAAAAAGGTAAAAAAAGTATACTTGAGTTCTTTAGCAATGTACGAATTTCGTTTTCTGATTAAGTTACCCGTTACTATAATCATGGCAAGTAAAAAGAAAAAAATAAAAAAAGTAAAGGAGTTCTTCTAGATGAGTTAGTGACTCTTAAATCAAATTAAGAGATGCCTAAATACACAAAAATAGCAAATAACAGTTCGCCGAAATTAGTACAAACATATTATATATATAAATTTTCAACGAGTTTAAAATATGGAAATTCATTATTGTATAATTATTGAAGAACCAAAAGAAGGGGAAAAAAGCTCATATGCACTCACAAAATGGTATTTATCGAAACAGTTTTCAGGTTGATGATAGTATTCCTGATTCCTGTTTTCTTTCTGATGAAAATATTCAACATTTCGATAAGTACTATGATCCATCAACTGCGTATTATCTTATTACTATGAACTTCATTTCAGAATTCAAATACCAATATATCAAACAATTACTTGCAAAGGACGGTCCAAATTAAATATTATTGTACTTTTATATTAATCTAATTCACAAACTCTGTTTTGTTATATATTTCCAAATCTTATTTAGGAATTTGGTTATAGTTATTAAGCTTAAAATATTGTCCCGTATTAACAATGATACTAATGTGTTTGGAAGGGAGGAAACTTGGATATTTAACCCTGTCTTGTATACTTAAACTACTTGCTTCCAATAAATTAGAATAATTGAATTTAAAATTTTTTTAAATGTAAAAGTATTAATAACAAAATGGGTGAATCATAGATTAAAAAAAACACAAATATCCATTTTTGATTGAAAATAAGTATTGCAAGTATACAAAGTTAATACCAAAATCTTTTCTTGTGGAATTCAGACGGAGGGGGAAAAACTCATATTTTTATTTTTAGTCAATCTTCCCAAAAACTTCACAATACGTCATATAAAATTTAGTCCATAATCATCACAAAATTCAAATTATTCATTTTTCATCATAATAAAAAGAATACTCACAAATGTTTTAATCATAGACTCCAAAGACAAATAAAAAAAATAGATCACGTCAACATTTAATAACGCCATATTTTAAATTTATTTGTCCTCATATTTCCAAATTAAACATTTTTTTTGTAATGAATGATATTTATGTAACAGACAGAGAATTCTCACTCTTATCATGTGAGAGAGAAAATGCAATACTGCTCTTATTATGAATATAAAATCACTAAAATATTCTGACTATCTTTTTATTCTGTCTTAATTACACGGATCTCTCTATTTTGATAACATATATTTTAATCCAAACCATTAATACTATTAAAAAATATTCTAAAAAGATTCTTTGAGTATACTTTTTAATTAAAAATCATATTAGAAAAAACCTGTCCCCACTGTACCCTTGTTCTATTAAATCTCTAGTTTATCTTTTGATATTGATGTTTATTAATGATCTATTTAATATTTTTACTAAATTTACTAAATTAAGATATAACTTTATAGTTTAATTAAAAATACATATATACAATTGCAAAGCATTTTCAGCTAATATATATTTAAGAAATTGCATCATAAGCCAGTTTTATCTGATAGACGAGATTAAACATTTAAATTTATTGTAATCTAAAAATTTGTATTTAAAATTAATTAAATTTATAATATGGTAATTGATTTAATAGTATAACGCAAAATATAATTGATTTAATAGTATAACGCAAAATATTAAAGTATGTATTAAAATTATTTTTTTAATTTCAAATAGAGATATATCATATGTGATTAAATGATAATTATTAAGTAATATTTGCATTAAGGAGAGGTATTTTGATTAAAATAACAGTTTAACCCTAACAGTCAACTAATGGTTAGGTAGATAGAAGTTGAATCTCAAAACCAGAAAAGAGATTTGTGCAACATATATTTTGATTTTAATAAAGGTCCATATAGGTTTCCAAAAAAAAAAGAGAAGTCTCTGTAATTTAGATTAAATAGATGGGAGGTTGATTATTATACGCATAATTATAGAAACCATTTAAATGGAAATAATCCTCGTATACCACTTTCAAGAAAGAAACAAATTGCGATTTAATAAGACCTATGATAAATTTTGAAGAGTTCGATTTCTACATATATTCATTATTGTAAATTTATACTGAGATTCAAAAGAAAGAACGAAATCTGTAATCTTTTGTGACGAAGCAAGTTATAAAGCATAACTTATTAACATATATGAAGCAATGGAGTCTTTGGATTAAAAAAAATTGAAGCTAACAACATAAAAATAAATTATTCTTTACTCTTTTACAAAGTTATCAATTCATTTGGTGATTGAGATGTTATTACCTTATTATATTCATGGCAAATAATTAAAAAATAATATTAAAAAAAAAGCAAATAAATAAAAATTGGAGTTCCACTATATGGATTATTGTGATTCTGGTTCCTTACCTCAAATATCCTAATGAGGTTTGGATGAATACTTTAAAACCGAAAATAAAATTATTCAATATTTTGATGAGTTAAATTAAAATAATTTATTTAAATGAAAAGCACGTTCAATAACATAAATTCAGTATAATATTAAAAGCATCTAACAAATTCAGTGTTTAATACCGTACTATCTTTTTGGCCTGATAATAATAATAATATTCTTCTTTTTTTTTTTGGCTAAAACTTCTTTCATATTCTGAAAGTTTAGATAATTAGATTCCATTAGTATAAATTATTCCCAGGTTCAAACTCTGACGCGCAAATGCAAGAATAAAGAAACAAACAACAATTCGATATACTAGTATATCTAGATGATACTCCTCCGGTCCTTAATATAAGACCCATTTAACTAATTTGATTAGATTAAGGAAGTTAGGTAAGTTAGTTAATTATAAGAAATGTGACACATTTTTTCTAAAATACCATAATTATCTTTCTTAATACCCCATCTTCCTCTTGTACTTGATTATGGTTGAAGAAGTATCCATAGGGGTAATTTAGAGAAAATTGATAAATATGATAAATGGGTCTTATATTTAGGACCAAAACCACTCAACAATTGGGTCCTATATTAAGGACCGGAGGAGTATTATTTTGAAACAAACAATATTAAAAAAAAAAACATAGCAAAGAATCTTCAAGTGAATATATACCTGTTTGACAGATAGATGAACTTGAAGATATTTGAGAAGCTTAAACAGTAAAGGCAGGTTGGAGAGAATGATTGACTGTTGCTGGAACATATAAAGCAAGATTGAATGTAAATATAAATAACACAAGATAAGAAAGACTAAATAGAATGAGAGACAAATGTAAACGAATCAAAAAAGTTAGTCTAACTCTTTAATATTTTGAAAAAATTAAACAAAGGACCATTTAAGAGGTCACCGATCGAACCAACATCTGAGTAATACAAATCCAACTAATATAAATTTACTGTCACTTAGCTGGAACATATAGCAGATTCTTTTATGCTATTGTTCTTTCATTTTATTTATGTTTCTTTTATGCAGTCATTTCCTTAAAGAGGAAGAAAATGAAAGTATTCCCTTCTTTCTTTGAGCCCCAGAGTAATTGTTATTTCGGTCTTAATATATCAAAGAGAGAAGAAAGATGTAATACAAGCCACAAACAATCAAGTTAGTCCTTGCGTAGTGCTACGGTTGTCTAAAGGGAACTTCTATGCAAAAGACATTGGACAACTACGTAACATAACATACAAATGTAAACAAACACGTATTATTCTTTACTTTGCTCTTTTATGAAGAATAATAAAAGAAAAAAAAACCAGCTCGGATCAACCTGTTCAATCGAAAAACTGATAAACCGCTCCAGGTTTGTTTGTTGGACCAGAGATGAAATGAACGGTCACAAACCGGTTTAACCAAGTAACCTCCGGTTGGAATGGGTTATCCAATTTAAACTTTTTGCCTCCTAAAAATATATAAACTGTGGGAAAGGAGAAGAAGGTTTACCAAGAAAAGAAGGGATGGGAAAAGGAAAAATAGAGAAAGAAATGCTAAACAATCCTTGCTATGAGAGAACTCCTGAATATGCTAAAAAATGAAACGAAGAAGCACTTTAGTGTGGAAACTAAAAAGCATGAAAGAAAGATAAAAAGATGATTCAACATTCAAGGCTTCACTCTAGAGACTTATTTGTTGTTGAAGTTGTACGAGAAAAACTGAGAGAGAGAGAGAGAGAGGAGAAACTAGAATATTAGAAGGCAAGAAGGAAGATAATAGAAAAAATGGGATGGATGAAGTATAGACAAATGAAAGAAAAATGAGGAAGTCAAAAAAAATTTAGCTGAGAAAGAGAAATGGAAATCTGTAAAGCGTATTCTAGGAGGTTTGCTATTCTGCTATGCTTACTGGTTGTTCTTGTTCGTTGTTCAAGGAAGAAAGAGGAAAGCTGCTTGTGATGTGGGTCACGGAGAGAAAAATAAGGACCAGTCACGTGGGAGAAAGAAGAAGAGAGGAAAAAGAGTAAAATAAAATAAGAACAAAGATATATATTTTAATAAAATGCATCAGATTTTTGTCTCAAACACTTAAAAATAACTAGAAAAATTAAACATTTAAAATAGATATGTATTTTTATAATTTTAATTGATACAATTAAATATTTAAACTGTTGGGAAAAAATTAAACATTTAAAATATTTTTATAATTTCTTATATTTTGTTGAATGATTATTATTTATAAATATTGTTATATTTTGTTATTATTAATTAAATTATATTATTTTAATATGACGGATCTAACTCCTGTTGAATCCTGATCTAACCCACTGGTCTGACTCCTGTTGAACCCTAATCTATTATTTGGTGATTGAGCTATTATTCCCTTCCTATATTCATGGCAAATAATAAAAAAAATAAAAGATTAAATGGGTTATTATGATATTTGTTACTTACCTCAAATATTATAATGAAGTTTTTTTTGGGCCAAACCTTCCCAGCAACTCTTAATTCAAATTAAGAGATGTCTTGCTGCACAAAAATAACAAATAACAGTTCATCCAATTGGTACAAATATACAATATATTAAATTTTTTTTAAAAATTCAAATCTTAAAATTCATTATTGTGTTATGAATATTGTGTGGATGTCCATTTACCCCTTCCTCTTCATCTTCTCCAAGTAACTTCCACTACCTCCACCATCCATTACTCCTCCACTACCCATTCACTCTTGTAACTCACCTCCATTCACATTCATGGGATTGATTATCCACTATTTGTCATTTAAGAACAATTGCAACCTATTTGTAAGACTATGCCTATAAATAGGGCATGTCATTTGTGTTGTAATGCAAGTGAAGAAATACACAAGTTCTCTCATTCTCTTGTCTTATCTTTCTCTATTCTACTTTTGTGGTTTCATTTTGGATCTATTTCATAACACGTTATCAGCACGAAGCGCTCTTGTAATCGGAAGGTGTTGTAGTAAGGCTAATCAACTAGAAGGTAAATTTCTATATCACTTCTATAATGGTTTGTTTTATAATTATTCCATTTTCTTATTCATATTGATTTGTTTCATAACTATTCTATTCTCTTAATATTAATTTTCATTTAACTTTTTATATGATAGTATCATCATGTCAAATCTCACGAAACTTGAGTTTGTGGCTCTTGACATTACTGGAAAGAATTATTTATCATGGATATTAGATGCGGAAATCCATCTAAATGCCAATGGTCTAGGAGACACAATCAAGGAAGGCAACCAAGCATCCAACCAAGATAAAGCCAAAGCCATGATCTTTTTACGTCACCATTTGCATGAGGGGCTCAAGATTGAATATTTGACCATAAAAGATCCACTTGTTCTTTGGAACAATTTAAAGGAGAGGTATGACCATCAGAAAACTGTAATCCTTCCTAAAGCTCGTTATGACTGGATGCATTTATGTTTACAAGACTTTAAATCTGTGATCGAATATAATTCTGCAATGTTTAGAATCAGTTCTCAACTGAAATTATGTGGAGAAAAGATCACTGATGAAGATATGTTAGAAAAAACATTCTCTACATTCCATGCATCCAATGTGCTCCTGCAGCAGCAATACCGTGAGAAAGGTTTCAAAAAATATTCTGAATTAATTTCTTGCTTGCTTGTAGCTGAGCAAAATAATGAGCTTTTAATGAGGAATCATGAATCCCGTCCTACTGGCTCCACTCCATTCCCAGAAGTAAATGTAGTGGCAACTGAATCAACCCGTGGCCATGGTCGTGGGCGTGGACGGGGTCGTGGTCGTGGTCGTGGCCGTGGCCGTGGCCGTGGAGGCGATCGTTCCCACCAGAAGTGGGCAAATAATGATGAGCATCACCAAAAAGAATCTAGTGGAAATAATAATCATGTTGAAAATCTTTGTTATCGTTGTGGTGGCAAGGGTCATTGGTCTCGTACCTGTCGTACGCCAAAGCATTTGGTTGACCTCTACCAAGAATCGCTGAAAAATAAGAATAAGAATAAAAATAAAGGCAAAGAGCCAAAGGTGGAAACAAATTTTGTGGGAGAAGAAGGCGATTCTGATGATGGCAACATGGATGTTACTCATTTGGATGTTGCTGATTTCTTTGCCGATCCTGATGGAAGAATTGATCACTTAATTGGTGATGGAAGTGTCAAAAAATGAGTCATCTTGATGTAATTGAGTTTCTATAATTAAGTATATTTTCATGTTTTGCTTATAAGTGTGCTCTTTCACCTACCACAATAAATTCTGTACTTGTAAGGTTATTACCCCCAAAATAAATATAATTATGAGTTTTTATTCATGATAAAATTATATTTTCTTTTATTAATCATGTTTTCTTTTTAATCTTTTCCTATGTTTTTTTTTCATGAAGAATGACCATTATTGACATTAATAATGAAGATTTGTATCTCGTTGATAGTGCAACAACTCACACAATACTCAGAAATGAGAAATATTTCTCTTCTCTGGTAATGCGAGAAGCCAATGTTCAGACTATATCTGGAAGTATAAACCTCATTGAAGGCTCTGGAAGAGCTGATGTATTACTACCTGAATGAACAAAATTACATATTGATAATGCATTTTACTCTACCAAGTCTAATAGAAATTTATTGAGCTTCAAGGATATCCGCAGAAATGGATATCATGTTGAAACAATAAATGAAGGAAATCAAGAATACTTGGTTATCACAAACTTAATTTTGATAAGAAATGCATTCTAGAAAAATTACCTGCCTTTTCTTCAGGCTTATACTACACACGTATTAGCACAATTGAAACACATGCTATTGTAAACCAGAAGTTTGCAAGTGAGAATAAATTTAACATTTGGCATGACCGGTTAGGCCATCCCGGAACTATTATGATGCGAAAAATAATTGAGAATTCATGTGGACATTCACTGAAAAGTCAACAGATTCCACAATCACATGTTTTCTCATGTGCTGCATGTTCTAAAGGAAAGTTAATCACTTGACCATCACCAGCAAAAATAGAAAGTGAGTCTCTCACATTTCTAGAACATATACAAGGGGATATTTGTGGACCGATACACCCACCATGTGGACCATTTAGATATTTCATGGTTTTAATTGATGCATCAACAAGGTGGTCACATGTTTGCTTATTATCCTCTCGTAACCTAGCATTTGCAAGGTTGCTTGCTCAACTAATTAGATTAAGAGCACATTTTCTGATTATCCAATCAAAAGAATACGTTTGGATAATGCTGGTAATTTACTTCGCAAGCTTTCAATGAGTATTGTATGTCTCTTGGAATTGATATTGAACATCCTGTAGCACATGTTCATACACAAAATAGACTTGCAGAATCATTAATTAAACGACTACAATTAATTGCAAGACCATTACTGATGAGATCAAATCTCCCAAATTATGCTTGGGGACATGCAATTTTGCATGCAGCAACATTAATTCGTATCAAGCCAACAAGTTATCTCAAGTCCTCCCCTTTACAATTGGTTTTTGGTCAGGAACCTAATATCTCCCATCTAAGAATTTTTGGAAGTGCAGTATATGTTCCTATTGCTCCACCACAACGTACTAAGATGGGTCCCCAAAGAAGGATGGGAATATATGTTGGATATGAATCTCCTTCTATAATAAAATATCTAGAACCATCAACAGGAGATTTATTTACGGCTCGATTTGCCGATTGTCATTTTGATGAATCAAAATTTCCAACATTAGGGGGAGAAAAAAGCAGTTGGAAAAAGAGATTAGTTGGAAGGAAGTTTGATTATCTCAACTTGATCCTCGTACAAAACAATGTGAACTAGAAGTTCAAAAGATAATTCATTTACAAAGGTTAGCTAATCAGTTGCCAGATGCATTTACTGACCTAAAGAAAGTGACCAAATCACATGTTCCAGCTGCTAATGCTCCTATCAAAATTGATGTCCTTGTTGGACAACCTGCTATTGTAAATGAATCTAAAGCACGCATGAAGTGTGGCAGGCCCATTGGTTCCAAAGATAAAAATCCTCGAAAGAGAAAAGGAGCTAAAAATGTAGATGGCCAAGTCGAGGATAATCAAGAAAGAATTGCAATTCAAGAGGAGTCATTAGATAATGCTAATGTCTCAATTCCAAAAGAAAATCAACTACCTGAAATGTGCGAAAATGATGAGATCTCAATAAATTATGTTATGAATGGAATACGATGGGATCGAAATAAAGTCAATGTTGACGATATTTTTGCATATAATATAGCGCTTGATGTGATGAATGATGATGAGGATCATGAACCAAAGTCTATTAGTGAATGTAAACAAAGAAAAGATTGGCCAAAATGGAAAGATGCAATTGAGGCTGAATTGAATTCACTGGAAAAGCGAAAAGTGTTTGGACCTGTAGTCCATACACCTGCAGATGTAAAACCAGTCGGATACAAATGGGTTTTTGTGAGAAAAAGAAATGAAAATGGTGAAATTGTAAGACATAAGGCATGGCTTGTTGCCCAAGAATTTACACAAAGACATGGTATCGATTTTGAAGAAACATACTCACCAGTGGTGGATGCAACTACTTTCCAATATTTAATTAGTCTGGCAGTAAAAGAAGGACTCGATTTGCGTCTGATGGATGTTGTTACAGCCTATTTATACGGCTCACTTGACAATGATATTTATATGAAACTCCCTGAAGGATTCAAGTTGCCGGAAGCATACAATTCAAGTTCTCGAGAGCAATACTCAATTAAGTTAAATAAATCTCTGTATGGATTGAAGCAATCAGGGCGTATGTGGTATAACCGTTTAAACAAATATCTGTCAGATGAGGGATACAAGAATGATCCAATTTGCCCATGTATTTTTATGAAAAGATCTAGAAATGAGTTTGCGATAATTGCGGTTTATGTTGATGACATAAATATCATTGGAACTCCTAAGAGCTTGCAAAAGCTATGGGTTGCTTAAAGAAAGAATTTGAAATGAAGGACTTGGGAAGAACAAAATTTTGTCTTGGATTGCAAATTGAATATTCAAGAAATGGGATCTTTTTGTATCAAGAAACCTATACAAGAAAGGTCTTAAAGCTTTTTATATGGATAAATCACATCCATTATGTACTCCGATGGTTGTAAGGTCTTTGGAGAAAGATAAAGATCTTTTAGACCTCAAGAAAATGATGAAGAACTACTTGGTCCAGAAGTACCATACCTTAGTGCAATTGGTGCACTCATGTATCTTGCTAGTCACACACGACCTGATATATCATTTGCTGTTAACCTACTAGCAAGATATAGCTCGTCACCAACACGAAGACATTGGAATGGAGTTAAGCACGTTCTTCGTTACCTCAGGGGTACTATGGACATGGGGTTATTTTACTCAAATGTACCCAAAACTAACCTCATTGGTTATGCAGATGCTGGATTCTTGTCTGATCCACATGTCGGTAGATCACAAACAGGCTATTTGTTCACATATGGTGGTACAGCCATTTCATGGCGTTCTATGAAACAAACCATATCAGCCACATCATCTAATCATGCAGAAATTCTTGCAATACATGAAGCAAGTAGAGAATGTGCATGGTTAAGATCGATAATACATCACATACGAACCACTTGTGGCTTGTCTTCCAGCAAAATGATCCCGACAATTCTATATGAAGATAATGCTGCATGTATTGCGCAATTAAAGGAAGGGTACATCAAAGGAGATAGAACAAAACATATTTCACCAAAATTCTTCTTCACTCATGATCTTCAAAAGGATGGTGAAATCGACGTCCGACAAATCCGTTCCAATGAAAATCTAGTAGATTTGTTCACCAAGTCACTTCCTTGTACAACATTTGAAAAGCTTGTTCATGATATCGGATGTCGTAGACTTAGAGATATCAACTGATATTACCAAGAGGGGGAGTTAACACATGCTGTACTCTTTTTTTCTTGACTATGGTTTTTATCCCATTGGGTTTTTCCTAGTAAGGTTTTTAATAAGGCAGCACTGAATAGCATATCAATAAATGTGTACTCTTTTCCTTCTTCTAGGTTTTTATCCCACAGGGTTTTTCCTAGTTGAAGTTTTTTTAACGAGGCACATATTTGTATAATAGACATCCAAGGGGGAGTGTTATGAATATTGTGTGGATGTCCATTTACCCCTTCCTCTTCATCTTCTCCAAGTAACTTCCACTACCTCCACCATCCATTACTCCTCCACTACCCATTCACTCTTGTAACTCACATCCATTCACATTCATGGGATTGATTATTCACTATTTGTCATTTAAGAACAATTGTAACCTATTTGTAAGACTATGCCTATAAATAGGGCATGTCATTTGTGTTGTAATGCAAGTGAAGAAATACACAAGTTCTCTCATTCTCTTGTCTTCATCTTTCTCTATTCTACTTTTGTGGTTTTATTTTGGATCTATTTCATAACATATTGCAATTTTTTTGGCCTGATATTATCGCAATTATTGACGAAGCAGAAGGAGGAAAAAATAAAGTTGAATAACCAAGCTTGTTATTATGAAACGCAGATTCATTCAAGAATAAATATTCAGTTAATATAAATTCATCATAATATGACAAAAGCGTCTAAAAGATTTGATGTTTAATATTTTAATATTATAATTTTGATAAAATTAATTTAAAAGCCAATAAAATATATAATTTGATTGAAAATATTTCAGGAGCCAGTGAACAAAAAGACAGGTGATCAGAAAAGGTATTTATTTTATTTTTTGTAGTTATGTTTTGATATAATTAATCAATAAGATCAAAATGATTAGACAAGATTCTTCGATCTTGTCAAAATATGAAAGTTAGGAAACAGCATTTTGCATGATTATACTGTCATAAATTGAACAGACACAAAATCCAATTAATACAAATTTACAGTCACATGGTGAGAACATCTAACAGACTGTTTTTTATGTTTAATTTTCTAATATTCATAATTTTTTCCTGGTAAAAATTAATTAAAGAATCAACGTAATAAAGATTCTCCAAAGACAAGATTTACCTGCAAGAGCGAGTCTGGTTTGTAAAATCAAAATGGAAAAGAAAAGCACCAACCAACTTCCAGGATAAATCACTAATTTAATTGGGCTTCAAAAAACAAAGAGATCATGTACGTAATTACAGATGCGTGAACATATTTGTACTTGAAGAAAAAG